CGTCGTTCTTGCCTTCTTTGCCCCACTTGAGGAGGATTCCTCAAGATTTCCTCAATTCGAATCGTCAACCTTGCCAAGCAATGCCATGCTGACTCAAGATTTCCTCAACCTTGCAGCAACCTGTTTAAGTTGACAGGTTGTTCTGAGCAGTGTGAGGAAACAATAGATGCCATCCACTGTGACCTTGCCCGATGTGCCCATGTCGGTGCAAGGGGTCAGTGGCATGGCACAAGTGAACACACTTGAGGAACAATTTCTTGTTGACAATTTGGGAGTCACACCTTTGCAGCTTCTGCCGGCTCTTGCACAGACGTCCTCAGCCTTGCGAAAACCTGTTGGTGTTGCCGGGCTCTCACCCGAAGAGCCATCAAGTTTCCTTGCTTGGGGACACAAAGGCCAGCCATCTAGTGTGACCTTGCCCGACGTGCCAATGTCGGTGCTACCCAACCCTACCCTCCCCTACCCTACCACACCCTACCCCAAACTACTCTTCGCCCTAACCAATCCTTGCCTGCACCCTAAACCCCAAACCCGAAACCTGTCCGAACCTACCTTGACCCCATCCTGCCCTACGCTAACCTACCCGATCCTTCGCCTGACCCACCATTACCTCCCCTGCCTGCCTGCCCTTGACCGCATTGTGCTAACTTACCCTTACCCTCACCCAACCCACAGCAGCCGCACAACCCTACCCTACTCTTCCCCGCAAAACCTACACAACGGGAACCCAACCCTGCCCTACCCTACCCTGCAAAAACCGGCCCAACTCTTTGCCACAAAACCTACGAATTCCAACCCACCAAGCAACTACCCAACCCTACCCTCCCCTACCCTACCACACCCTACCCCGAACTACTCTTCGCCCTAACCAATCCTTGCCTGCACCCTAAACCCCAAACCCGAAACCTATCACCCGCCCGAACCTGCCCTCACCTACCCTATCCCTCACCTGACCCTAACCAACCCTTTCCTGCCCTACCACAAAACCTACACAACTCCAACCACCCACAAGCACACTACTCTACCCTCCCCACCCTGACACACCCTGTCCTACCCAATCCAAACCAACCCTAACCTACCCTACCCGAACCTACCCTACCACCGCAAGCAACTACCCTACCCTACCCTCCGCTTCCCTACCCTACCACACCCTACCCTCCCCAAAGTACTCTTCAGCCCACCCTGACCTACCCTGCCCTGCAATCCTTTCCTACCAAACCCTAACCTTTCTTCCTGTCCGAACCTACCTTGACCCCATCCTGCCTTACGCTAACCTACCCTATCCCTCGCCTGACCCCCAACCCTTGCCTCCCAAACCCGAACCCCCTAGCCTACCCTAACCTACCCACCCTCCCTGCCCCAGCCAGCCCACTCCCCTTCGTTCCTGCCTTCCCTCTGCCTGACCCAAAACACACTCTGTCGAAAACCAAACCCTGCCCTACCCTACCCACCCACCCCGCACAACCCCACCATAAACCACCCGCAAGCAACTTCCCTGCTCTTCACTTCACCCTACCTCACCCTGACCTACCCTGCCCTACCCTGCCCTACCCAACCCTTTCCTGCCAAACCCTGACCTTCACTATCCTGCCACCCTGACCTTTCTTGCCTGCCCGAACTTGACCCAACCTGTCCTACCTACCCGACCCTACCGCTCTCTGCAGCAGCAGCAGCCCCCTTGACCCCCTCCTTGCCAACTCAACCCCTGCCCCACCCTACCCTAAAGGGTAGACAACGATTTCGCTAACCAAAACCTCCGCATCAATGCATGGGCACCGTTGCTACATATTGGTGTTTTGTCGTTTGCGGTTTTGCGGCTGCTGCATCACTTTCTCAGGGCAAGGTTGTTGAATGCTTTGTCTTTGGTGCGTGGTGTTGTTTTGGTGCTTGTTGCCGGTGTTGGTGGTGCTGGAAGCGTGGTGCTCGAAGCTTGGTTGCTTGAAGCGCGGCCGGTTGCAGAAGCAGGGAACTATCTTGAGGTTTGGGCCTATCCGGGATTTAGAGTTGACGCTTGACTGTGTTGGGTTGAAGGAAGGCTGTTGGCTTTAGACTTGGAAAAATGTCGCCTTCCCCGAAAGGCGCTGTAGGCGCGGCTCGGGAGTCCGAGTAACTGAAGAAGCAAGATCTCCCTAACCATCTTGGCTTTAGGCTTCGGCTCTTGGGGCTTCAAGCTTTGGGTTGAGTGTGTCCGCGCCTTACTCGGGAATATGAGCGGCGACTACAGATGCCTGACATGTAACCCTGCGTGGAGCCACCCGTGGCACGCAAGCCCTTGCCTGAGCCCCGTGACTGCAGATTGAAGCTGCCGAGATTTGCCATCCCGACGCCTTAGACTGAACCCTGAACATCATAGTACCTGTATAGGAACCCTCAGATATCCTCAGATGAACACTTAGCACCACCACCCAAACCCTAAAGAAAAAAACCCTCCAGTCCTGCTCCAAGCAGCGCTGCCATCCCTCCTCCTGCCCAAACGTCGCAACTTCAGAGTTTGTCAAAACATCGGCTCTGGGGCGCAGCTCTCGGATAAGCCTTCGGCTTTTGGGAGCCTTTCAGGCTCAAGGGTTCAGTGTTGGAGCTAGGGGCCTCAGAGATCTGAAGCACAGCTTCAGACCGAACATGCGCGCAGGAGCACTTGCAGCTGGTAAGACGAAAAATGGGAAACAAGATCCACATTGGCAACTGACAACGGTTGAAACTGATCTGCTAGTATGTGCACGGACGCAGTGTGAGTTAGAAATATTGTACATCTGGTATACGTGCCGTGATAGTGGGGTAGTCGTAGTGGTAGCAAAACAGTAACACTACGAGCAATCCCCGGTGTAGTAGAAGCTGGCGCAGCAGCAGCAGCAGCAGCAGCAGCAGCGGCAGGCCCTAAAGCAGACCATGGACCTTGACAAGGACAAGCAATGGCAAGCATGACATCACCGACAACAATGTTCCTGCAACAGTAAGCAAACCAGAACAAAGCCTATCATGAAAGGCATGATGTTCAAGAATAGGTCAAGGGAAATCGAAGACCCTCCCTGCGCCTTCGGCTGAAGCGGCCTGCGATGGCCAAGCTGGGAAGGGTTTGTGAGTGTGGTCTGCGCGGTTTGTTTTTTGACCCTGCGCGGCCTATATTGTGGGCAGCGCTGAAGCAGAAGCAGAATTGTCTTTCCGCTCTAGATTGTTCATCTATGAGACCCGGGCATAGAAGAACTCCTGAGTGACGCATGGGAATCACAAGCTGTGGGCAGAGCCTAGGTCGAGTGCCTGGCCTGAAGCCCGCGATGCAAAGATCTCTTACCCAAACTTCGCACACAGAGCTTAATCCCTGAAGCCCAACTGCGAACGCTGACGCCTGAATGCCTTCGGCTGCGCGAACATTGAGACAACTACACAGTGGACAAGGCATAAAGCCCTAAACTTCAACAAAGGCACTCAAATCGAGTCTTGGGCAAGTCTTGGGCGACGCAGGAATGCCCCTGTGGGATTCACATGCATGTACATACATACAGTACATATAAACTGAGTTCTAGACAACATCCACAAGTTTGAAAAAAGCCAGTCGCACTCTGGAGGCTCCTAAACCCCTAAACCCTAAACCCCTAAACCCTAAACTCAGGGGCTCCCAGATTCGGCCCCGGCCCAACGCCTCGGCCGTGCTGGACTCCGAGGAGGAACTCGCCGCATGCTCCGACTCTGACGAAGAGGAGCCTGGCATGCGGAGTACAGGGACCTGGTTTAGGGTTTAGGGTTTAGGATGTTGTTTGTTAGGGCTTCGTGGTATCATAGCATAGTTTGCTCCAAAATCCCAGCCCAATTTGTGGGGTTGTAGAGTTTTCAGGAGGGAGGAACAGCTTAGGGTTCGAAGCCCGCACGTTTCAAGGCGCATCCTTCAGCCCTACATCCGTAGTTCGAAAGATTCTAAATTCTCGGGAATCCAATGCCCAGGTTGAAGGACGGCTTTAGGGGGGTCGGCCCTGGGATCAGGCTTCCGAGCTCGAAGCGTGCGGGAGAATTTGGAACCGGGGCTGGGAGAAACGAACGCCGGACTCACAAGTGACGCGGCGGGCACCAACTTGGGAGAGGAACTGCCTCGCCCTCAACAGAAGGATAACAATAGACGGAGTTCAGAAACCTGGGGTGCAACGGGACAAACAAACAACCACACCAGCAAAAACAACGACGGAAGCGTCAACGGCACCGGCGACGACGGACAACAACGACGACAACCGCGACGACAACGACAACGGCCACAAGAACCACAACAACCACACGACGACGACGACGACGACGACGACGACGACGACGACGACAACGATGCCAAACCGGAGCAAACAGCGGCAAGACTAACCGGACAGCAAAAGAGTAATGGCACCACAAACAAGAAGGGGGAACAAGAGTTAGGCGACAAGCAGATCCTAGGTACAGTGACAAAAAAACTCGGTACCGCGATTCCCCAGGTGCCTTGACTTGGCGTCGCTTCCGGCGCCGGCTCCTTCGGGCAGAAGCCGTGAAGAAAGCCCCCAAGACTCCCCGAAACGGCCCCCCCTTTACTATACTGAACTTAGAACCCTAGCAAAAACTATAATTTTAGCTGTTTCTTAGGGATTATGATAACCAAAAATTAAAAACTATTTCTAAGTACCCCTCCGTTCTGCCTCGGCGGCGCTGGACTCGGAAGTCGCCGAGGAGCTCCCGACGGAGGGCGAGGGGCCCGGGCTCGCTGCAGCCTCGGACTCGGACTCCGAGGAGGAGCTGGAGCCTGGGACGGGACAGAGCTATGGGGTTTTAGGGTTTTTTTTTTTTTTAAAGTGCAGTGGCCTCTTTCTGTTGCAATGCGCGAGATGTGACCTGCCTCTCGGGGCCTACACTGGAGCAACGACAGATTGAGTCGTCACTTCACGGACAAATCACTCCTCCGCTGACTAAGACAGTGCCTTCTTCGGTGGAGGGAGAATACCACAATGAAAAACTCAACAGGTCAGAAAACGACCATGGGTAACCCCGTGCTTTCAGGAATCTCGGCTACGGCTTCTCTCACGACCTGTACGGTGAGGGCCTCTGTTGGGTTTAGGATTTAGGGAAAGGGTATAGGGAACAAGGTTTGGGGTTTAGGGTTTCTACAACGAAGAGGGCCTTTCCGTTCCGGGGCTTAATGGGGTCGGAAGGGTCTTGGGGATTGGTTTTAGGTCTGCAAGATCTTCTACTGCAACTGTAAGCTCCGACGGAGCTGAGCTGCACAAGAGATTACCCCAAACGGCACAGCTTCAACGTTGAATGCCAACGAACTGAAAAGCAGCAGCCGATTAGTAGCATAGGCTATCTGGCTCAAGGCTGAAATCCAAACCACTAAAGCCCAGGACGCTAGTTACAGACCAATGCCCTAACGCTAAACAGGTTCCCATCTTTCCTAAACCCAAGCGAAGCATCATAAACTCCAAACTTCGTCCAAAATCTCGCTGAACAAACCGAAACCCCCAACCGTTATCCAATGAATTCAAGGACCCCCAAACTCGTTCAAAAAGGACCCCCTTTCTGCAACCTGTTGTTTCCGCTTGAAACCGTACGATCGTCAATTGAGCGAGATTCAAGCTTACAGAATTCTGTAAAGCCGTTAAGAGCCTCTAAAAGCCCTCCAGCACTTTCTGAGCTCCTTCCAGCACTCCATTCTTCAATTCAGGGATGCTTAGGACATCGACACTGAGGCTTCAATTACATGGCATTTTAGAAATGAGAAGAACGTTTCGGGGTACACCATGTATACGATTACCTCTGACATTTATTCCGAAACCCCCCCCCCATATTAGCCACGGAGGGATATCCTCCTGCAGGCAAACACTCAAACCCGGCCCCAAAGTCAAGAAAAACCGAGCCCTCAACCGAAAATGAAACCCCCACAGCATCCCCCACAGCATCCCCTGCTGAATCTCCGCTCTTCCGCTCGAGGCGCTCGGTTCGGAGCTCGGTTCAGAGCTGGCGACCGGGCTGGCTGCCGGACCTCTCGGGCCAGCAGCTTGAGGTTTACTTGGAGGTTCATGGGTAGTTACAAGTCGGTTATAAGTAGGGTAACTATACGTAACTAATGATAATTATAAGCCGTTAGTTATGCGTGGCGCTATAAGTAGAGTAACTATATGTAACTAATTATAGTTGTAAGCCGTATTAGGGGGACCTATTACCCTAGCTTTCACTACCCATCAACCTCCAAGTAGGGTCTCGGGACCAGGCTAGGAATCTGACTGCAGGGTTTGGGTTGGGACTTAGGGCTTTGGGGCTTTGGGGCTTTAAAGCTGAAAAGGTTTGTATTTGCAGGGTTCCAAGGCTTCGGAGCTTTATGGGCTTTGGGCTTAGAGTCTACAGGAGAGGGCGTGTAAGGTCCAAAGGCTAAGTGGCCAGAATGTCTAGAGGGTCTGTGGGGGGAACGGTGCAGTACGCTTCAAGGTCTTGCAGGTTTTACATTTAAGTTCCACCGCCCGGTTCCCATGCCCCGGTCGTAGGTGCGAAGCACTGGAGTCTTGCAGCAGTCCCTTTTCATTCTGGTACAGGGGTTTAGGGTTTAGGGTCCGCCCTGGCAGTCTCTCCGCGGCCGGCCCAAAACTCCCCACATGAAAACATTTCATCAAACGTCAACCTGAAAACCCCAAACCTTAGACCGTAAACCGCAAATCCTACACCCCAAACCCAAAACCCTAGATCCACGAGCCCGAAACGCCGGAACCCAAACCAAACCCGACGACCTGCTGCGTTTGCCGCAACGAAATGGGAAAGGTCCGATTCCGATCCACCCTCGCAGTTCATGAAGGCTTTTTCAGGGTGGTTTCATGGGGTATATAATATATGATGCGGGCTTTAAGAAATTGGAGTAGTCAGAAAATAGAGCTTAACATGTAGACCCGTAGGGTCCTTTCTACCAAGACCCCTAATGGTAATGATATCGTGTTTAGCTTTCTACAACCCTCTGGGATTGTTCTTTGCACGGAACGAAAGAACCGTAGAGAATCCATATGCCAGAACTAGGTGCATGCATATCTCTATGTGTGTATTTATATACATATATACATACATACATATGTAATATATATATATATATATATATATATATATATATATATGTTTGTATTTGGTCCGGTTAGTCTGCTTTAAAAAGACAGAGAAGTTGGCTTGACAAAGCTTGGGGCTTCAGAGGGCTTTAAACCCCCTGGGCTTGGAGGTATTTGGGGTGCAGGAGTTTTGGGGCGTGGGTTTGGGGCTTGAGGGGCTCAGGATTTCGGGGTTTGGGGTTCGCGGTTGTCTTGTTTAGCAAGAACAGAAAGCTGCTGTTGGAAGAGCATGGGTCTCAATGAGGTTGCAAAGGCCCGGGGTAGACTTCCATCTTGAGTACTTTATCATCCCACATGAACCCTTCGATCCTCCGAGTACTGAGAGAAGCCCCACAACGGAGACCAAGACTGACGGAAGGGTCGGTAGGCCTCGCACTACATCCTGCAAACCTAATAAAACTTGAGCTGTGTCAAGCAAGTTTGGTATGCCCAGCAAGGAATCCAAACATGAGCTCACCGATATTCTTAAGGCGACGGATATAGTAGTTTAATCCGCGGTTGCATTGAAGCTTCACAAAATGCGCTGAAACGGAATGATATGGAATGGGAATGCTACCACGTAAAACTCTAGATAAACAAATAGTGATTTGAAGCCATCCCATAGTCCCCTGGACAAACCCTACGCCTGTGTAACAAGACTTGCTGCTTCGTACAATGACGGCTACGTAAGTTAGGGGTCCATGCTTCTATGATCAGGCTAATAAAGGGGCTTTCATGATTGGAATCGGGTTTTGGTGTATTCTCCAGTGTAGTGAGAATCAAGGACCCCAATGAATTCTATTACTGATCTGATGATTCCGACCCTTACATTAAGTCCATGAAGTGCCTGCTGCTGCGGAGGCGGGATCTTGATGTGTCCTCAAGAAGAGTTTCGTTTCCAGGATTGAGGGTTGGGTTAGGGTTTTGCATAACGGGTTTGGGTTCCCCGATACTGAAGGCCGCCAGCTCAAGCTGTTTCCACTCCGTCGGCAGATGATCTTACCAAGACGGGTTTCAGCACAAGAAAGGATACACGATCAAGGCGGCGAATACTACTGCTGCTGGATGAAATCTTGCACTACTCACAACGAATATACGGCAACTTCAATAGTTTGCCATCCTGTAACGAGTACAGGAGTTTGTCCAGCAGCCGTCGTCATGTGATTGCCACTCAGAGGCCACGGGCCACGTCACATACAGAAAAAACAAAAGTCCCGAACTCCGATGTTAACCCCAAGCCGCAAAACTTCATCCAATGATAGGCCCCGTCGTAACTTGGGGACTGTTGCTTGACCCAGGTGGCGGCTGAATACGCCGCTGAGACCTTGACCTCGTGATCTCTCAACGCTATTGAACACGTAACCTCACACCGAGCTTGAACCCGAGCCGTCTCCGCCCTAAACCCCAAAAAACCCAACAACACTAAAAGCCGTCGATCAAAAAGAATAGGAAAAGGCTAACAAAAGGAAAACGGACAGGTCCAGTTCAAGTTCTAAACCCCTGTGAATCCCAAACCCGAAACTCGAAACCGCCTTTGGTCCTAAAGGCAAAACCCCAACAAGGGCAGCACGCTGATGGGTCCAAGGGGCCCAAGTGGTGGAGCGCAGCGCCGACGAGGCCGCCGACTACGTCCTGGGACGGCTCTCTCTCGGTGTAGGGGTCTCGGGTGTGGGGCAGGTATGCGTTTACGGCAAAGCAGAGTAATCACGAGACGGGGTAGGCTTCAACAGCTATGTTAATGGGACACTTCGGGCCCATATCCTACGTCGCAAAACCTACAAAAGTCGGAGGTTCGATCAAGTCGCGGCCCTCCGCCCGCATTTGTGCGCGGAAAGGCTTCAATTTCGGTCCCTGAGGCCCCGCTAGCCTTACACCCAAGCAACCCCACTCCCCAAGCCCCACCAGCACCCCGTCCCAAGCTCGACCCATGGCTTAGAACACTTTTAACACCAAAGTAAAATGAACCTTGTCGTGTAGCCCCTGTTGAAGCCTGTTGCACGCCTCCCCTCTAACCCCCAGAACAAACCTTGAAATTTAACTGCAAAGGTGTGAAGATGCTCTGTCTAGGGCTGTAGCAGACGTCGGGAACAGGGTTTAGGCTTTAGAGGCCTGGGCACCCAGACCAGTCATTCAGGTAGCTGTAGTCACTCAGAAATGTCTTCTACTGGTGGGATTCAACCTGGCCAAACACGTGCCAGGCGGAAATGAGGCCCGATAGAAGAGCTTAGGGTGAATCCGGCTCTCTGGAGAACGGGGCCCTTTTGCGGGCCTTTGTACAAAGTGGGGCATGAGCGCAAACTATCTCTAAACAGTTAACTTTGGAATCCGTAGCATTGTTACATTGCTTGGGGAATATCAAAACGACAACCCCAAAACATCCTTGCCCAGACCCCCGGGAGGATCTAGAAAGTAGGTCCCCTAATTTGGGGCCCTATGCTACTAAGGGTACTTTATAGGAACCCCCATTAAGGGATCTGCTTTTTGGATCCTTGCGGGGGTCTGGGTGTTTCAACTGCGTAAGTCTAAGGATCGGGGATGTGCGGCACCGGCGGTGGCGGAGTGTGCGTGGACGACGCCTTGGATTCTTGGGTGGAATTGGGGCATTCCCGGTGTTCTTCGTTGAGGTTTACTCTGGGTTGCAGAGGTTCTACTCTCTGGTTTAGGATTTGGGCCTTGCCTGCCGGTGCCTCCGCCTCCGCCGGCGCAGCAATAGACGTTGAGGATTTGTAGGAATGCGTGCTTATGCGAATGTGCAAATCGACATCAATGTGTATGTTGGTCATGGCGAGCATGACTATGCTGAACGAATGGTCAGGATAACTGGGACGAGGCTTCCAAGCACAAGAGTCATCCTGGGCTTTCTCTCTTGCTAATGACCGCGGCACGACGCCACTGGCTGCTTTTTGAGGTGCGCGCGCAACTTCAACAGGCCCAGGGCACGCAAGTCGGGCAGATGTGGCTTCGAATACTCCAGGTGCTTCGTCCCTGCTGCAGGTTTACTTCCGGATCTAGTCTTGCCATCCTCAGCCCGAAGCCCGAGGCCTGCTCAAGACCCTCAGCCCGAAGCCCTAAACGCAACAGCAGAACCAGCCATGGACACCAGCTGAAACTGCATAAGACCCTTTCAGAGCCCAGTAGCAACCCAGATAACGAAACAAGCCCCTGGAAAATAAACAGCTGGAAATCAAGCATCAACAATGTGCGTGCATGATGATCCCCATATAGTGTACACGGGAGTACATCGGCCAGGAAGCCGGCGGCAGCGTCGTCGCCACCTGGACATGCTTGGACGCTCCGGGCTTTACGAGGGTTGTATAGAAAGAATCCTGAAACTGGCTCTTATGGCGACTCTTATCTAGACCCCGGTTTTGGAGAGGTGATTGGCTTTGTGTTTGGCATGGCCAGGCTGACCAAGTAATGATCAATACTTCAGTCATGCAATTTGCATCACGTGCTTATGAAACTGTCATTGTTGCGAACCTACGACAGGCAATGATAGCTCCGTGCGATGCAAGTGCTTCATCCATCAATTCAGGTTCTTCCCTTATGTGGCCCACCTAAGACTTAGCATTTTCAGGAGTTCCAGCGCAAGAATGCGGCTTGGGTTGCGGATGTCGTCACAGGGCTGTAGAGTGTGGTGTCCTGTAGGCTCTGCGATTGCGGGTGTTGAAGGCTTTAGCATTTGACAGAACGTCTACGCACCCTGAAAAAGAACCTGCAGCAGTTGCATGCAAGCGCGTTGATAGAGGTGCAGCGGACTGCAGGCAAGCATACAGGGGATGAACAGTTGGACTGGGGTGTTTAGGATTTCCACACCACGGGGACTCTGCGGAACACTGCTGCTCACTGCTCATGCCTCTATATTGCTTCGCATCCGTTTCGACGGTTGACTCCCATCTGCACGAAGTCGCGATGGCAAACGAGAGGCTTCCTGTTACAACCGATTGACAACCTGTAAGCCAAGTAGTTATAAGAATATGCAACAGCCACCGTAACATGGAATTGATGGTGATGAATATGCTTTCTCTAATGCCCGGATGGAGCGATGGACCCAGAGACATTGCGGAGGCCTTCGCCGAGAATACCCAGGCACCCGCTTCCGCGTCGTAGTGGGAGTCTTGACCAGCATTCGACATAATTTCCTTAGTCAAGTCTTTGGTGCAACGGGTCTTTCCCCCCTTTGAACACGATGATGCCCTGTGGAGAAATGTCATGTGTCACTGTCTAGGGTTGTGTATAACCGTACGACTGTCATAAAGATGGCTGGATGTGGGTGATGGAGTAATGCCGAGCGGTTTGCACCGGCTGTATTGCCACTGTCGCGGTTGCTCTGCCGCATCCGCAGACAGCTGTTGCAAGCATGAGTGGACATGCTGTTCTGCATGACGTTGTGCCCCCGTCACATTAAACTGCATGAATGGATTGCGTAGCCGGAGCTTGCCGCAAGCAACGTCCTTGTAGTCGCAGAATGCGATTCCACATGAAACCGCATAAACTGAAACACACTGTACGAGTTCAATGTGGAAAATGCGGCGGATCCAGGATCCAATGATGCTGTGGGACTCTTCAGAAGCCGCATGGAGTCAGGGAGCCGTCACATTGAATTTCAGTATCTCCCAATGTTTTTCAAGATGGGCACTCGGGCCATATTGAAACTTCAATTCAGGCGATCCCAGATTCAAGTTACAAGATTGCCATGGGGCTCTTCAAAAGCTCTTTGGCTTCAGCGCACCGTCACGTTGAAATCAATTCATGGCCGAGAACTTTTCAATATGACAGGGAACAGAAACCCATGATCCAATATTCTCCCAAAAGTCCCCTCCGGGGAATCTTGGATCGTGGATCTGCCACGTAAAGATCTCAAGGTGCCCCAAAATGTGTGAAAAATGACAAGGACGACTGCCCATGTTTTGAAAGGTACGTATTGAGCAGCATCGAAATTTCAATGTGGGGTGAAATGTGAGTGCATGGTGAGGTCTCGATGGGGAGTACATCGGCCAAGAAACCGGCGGCAGCGTGGTCGGCTCCTCGACACTTCTAAACGTGGAAGGCTTTACTGAGGTTGCATCGCTGGAGTGCAATTACCCTTGTAAGTAAACAAAACCTGCATAGCAGCAACACCCACATACAGAATCCCGTTACAGAATGCTGGTTAGTGTTGCGCCTGCCAGGCCTGCCATGCCAAAGCTGTGCGAGTAATGGTTAGCACTTCAATCATTGGCGGCACGTGCGTGCTCAGGTCCGCAGGGGGCCATCACCTTGTTGTTCTTGCTCATGCGACTGTGTGCACATATCCCGGGACTTTCAACCTTGCTGCTAAGGAACTCTCCACGACTGCTCTCTGCTAGACTATCCAGAGATCACCCTAAGCCGAAGGTGCTGGATCTGTATACAGGCCCTAAACCTCCACGATTTGGGACTTTGGCTTCCGGGCAAGAGGTTAGGATTTCAGGGTTCGTGATGTATGTTTAGGGTTTGGAACTTTGCCATGCTTTACGAATTAGGGCTGCAACTTCGTGCTGGTGCCTCCACCTCTGCCGGTGCAGACGTGGACGGCGCCTGAGAGCGGCATTGGCTTCAAGATCGACAGGCTTGGGTTAAGAATCCCTTTCCACTTGCAATTCGATGAAAGAGAAAGCCGATGCCTGTGAAAAACCATTTGCCCTATGACCGCAATATATGAATATGATCAGTGAGATATAAGGATACTGCTGCTGATGATAAGCTTCCACAAGCATGCTGTCACATGCGGCTACTGTTTTGACGGCCCATAGGAAGTGTACGCAGGACAGGCAAGGCTGGCTTCGTGCTATGGGTCAGGCTGACCCTACGCCTCGAAACCCGGCATGATGTCATTGGGGGTCAACGGACTATATTGTTAGCAGACGAAGAACTGCAAGGATTGGCATGTCAGAAAGTCGTGACTGGGCGCGGGGTTGCAGGCGTCGCTGCAGGGCTGTACAGTGTCGTGTCTTAGCACGTAGGATGCGAGCCTGTAGGCTCTTGCGACATGGGCGTTGAGGGATTAAGTGCCTCAGGATTCCCGAAGCTTTAGGAGCATCAAGCACCCTGAAACAGAACCTCAGGCTTCATGAAATAAGCATATCGATAGGGCGGCTCCAGGCCCCGAATGCAGTCAGACTGTGGCTTTTGAGAGTTCCCAACGCTAAGAAACACTGCTCGTCTTTCAGGACCCTATACGGCTTCACGCCGGCTTCGACAGTTGACTGCCATCTGCACGAAGTCGCGATGACAAACTAGAGGTTTCCCGTTACAATGGAGAATACCGGTAAGCCAACTAGTTATAAGAATATGCAACAGCCACGATAACATGGAATTGATGGTAGTGAATACGCTTTCTCTACATGCCACGGCCACGAGACCCCGGGACATCGCGCGGAGGCCTTCCCGGTGATTACCCATTGACCCGCTTCCGGGTCGTAGTGGGTGTCCGAATTGCCAGTCGCCACAATGTCCTGAGACCAGTTGGAGGACGATGATGCCGTGTGAGGCATCGGCATGTGCAACTGTCTGAGGTTCATACAATCGTACGACTTGTCGCACGCTGGTACAGTAAGGCTCACACCAGTCGTTATGCGTTATGCTGCTTTCGTACAATTTGGACGACTCGATACTCAAGTTATGTTGATACAGGATTCGATAGCAACATCGGTGCACCACCACCTTATGCTAGCTCAGCAGTGTGACAAAAACCATAAACCTTTTCGGCATCCACGCCATACATAGGACTTGTATGCTCGGCTCGGTGGTACTGGCGCGGGCATGGGCCACACAACATGTTACCAGCACATGCTATGACGTAAATGTACGCCATGGACGTGAGTGTGTGCGTGTATACAAATTGGTGCACGCGTGCGTGCATGCATGTATGTGTATATGTATACCTTTGTGTGTACATGTTTTTATGCATGTATGTGTGTACATGTATATGTATGAGGATATATATACATACATACATACATGTATATAACTATATATATGTGTACATCGTATGTCTCTGCGCATGTGAGCTAAGTCAAAACTCTTTCCGTAGCGGTAGACATGGCAGTATCACTATGTGTCTTTCAATACTATCCTATCTTTGCGCCTTCAGCAGCTGCTATCAAGAGCAAGATCCGCCCTTTCAGCAGTCGACGGAGGTGGAAAGATGAAATATACACTCTGGCAGCATTCAGGAAGACAGAGAGACAAGAAGCAAAGCCTTGAGGAATACTGCAAGAACTATGATGGCCCTGTGTATCTATAGGGATGGGAACCCTTTACTAAGCTCTGACTATAGAAAATTCAAAATCCAAGAATTGTAGGAAAACCACCATATTTATAGGAGTGAAGGTGCAGACGCCGGAACGTGTGGAGAAGGCGAATCGAAGCTGGGCGTGCAAGCTGTGAAACGTCAAGTTGCCGATTCCCTCCCAGCCACCCACCCGAAACCCTGAAGCCTACCGGCCCCTAAACCCGTACGTAACCTTATATACCATTCTAAACCTTCAGTCCTGGTATCCCTCGCTTCCCTCAACCCTCGGTCCTGAATCTGAAGTACAATGTGAGGATGCGAACAATCAACAACAATTTCCTCATCGTCCCTGATGAGATGTTTCTATGATGCACCTCTCAAACCCTGTTCTAATCGCTCAGGCCGCGACATAATACCGCTTCAGCCGCAAGAAGAACAAAACCCCGGCAAAACCGTTCAGAAAAAGACTCCATAAGATACAAACGAAGCCCTGTGAAACCTTTTGGGCGCCTTACAAACCCCCCTCAAGAAACGCCCTGTTCTAATTCTCACAGACAGGGCCTTTTCTTCTTGCTTGAAGGCTCGTGGGAGTTAGTAAGTAAGGTTATAATTAGGATAACCCCACTTAGGGGACTTATAACCCCAATTATAACCTACTAAGTCCCATGATCTGATAGATCCCTGAACCCTGAACCCTAAGTATGCCTCGGCATCTGGGCCCCAGGCCACCCCAGGCAGCTCGGGACCTCGGCTCTCGGAAACGTAAATCTGGCAGGGGCCTGAAGCTTACCTTTGGTTTGGGTTTAGGGTTTAGGGTTTAGGGTTTAGGGTTTAGGGTTTAGGGTTTAGGGTTTAGGGTTTAGGGTTTAGAGGTTAGTAGGGAATGGAAGAATGGTAGTAATAGTAGTTACATTTGTACCCCATTCCTCCATTCCCTACCAACCAAAGGTAAGGAAGAAGCAGTTGCCTGAAGAATCGGAATAGGATTCTTTCTGCTTGATGGAGCACTTCGAACGGGATTCTCGTGAAGTCGCAGTATACTTCCATGTGGGCGATAAGAAAGCAGAACCTTTAGGATGCCCGGTTTAGGGCTCAGGGTCTAGGGGCTGGGATGAGTAGAATCTGAGGCTTAAGGCTTAGGTTTTTGGAGGGGGAAGGCCATGGACAGCTTCTTGTTGAGAAAGGTGGCAAGTAAACTTACAAAATCAATGCAGAAACGTGTAGGCCTACCCGTCAGTATGCCTGAACCTTCGCGAGACCCAACACCCCTAACAAAACAAGACAAAAACATAGACATAGATGCTGAAGGCACTTCAACGTCAAACCCATTCCCCATGCACGCTTCTCGTGTGCGTCCAGCTCGGCAGGTGCAGATGGTGATCAACGGACAGCTCGTATGCTGGTAGAGACAGCTAAGATTAATGGAACATGAGAGCATGTTGTTGTATGCCGTCAAAGATGCCACGGGACACCCGCAACATCAAAATAACACGTTGCTAGACTGTTGCTACTGCCACAAGACCCCCACAACGCAATATTCCGGACCAAGTCCCCTGCGCAGTGCCGGCCCAATGACGCGAGCCGCGGAGGGAGCGGCAGGGGCGGCGGGGGCGGCTGGGGCGGCGCCTGCCGGATAGAGGGCTTTCTGGTTTTCGAGTCTGGGGAAATACGATGTTCAGCTTTTGTGGCCGGCCACAGACAGACACTGTGGCCTTCACAGAATATTCGTTACAGTAGGGTTTATAGGCGCAGCCGGATTTGACCACGGGTAGACAACCAGTAGTGAAATGTTGCACAGCCTGCAATCGTAGGACCAATCTGCCGCAGGAGCACGCCAAGGTGCGATGCACTGCTGCTTCCCGAGATGTTGGCTTTGGAGGCCGGGTATGGCCACAGAATTAATGCTGGCTTGGTGTTAGCCGGAGGTCGTGCTGCGTACTGGTGCCACCACAAGAAGAATCTGTATCATCAGCATCAACAATCTAGCTCACAATGCCGTCAGCCCTTAGCCACGTCAACCACGCATGGTGAAGAAAGACTGCGAGTCACAGCACAAGAGGTAACCGCCATGTTCGTTGGAAGCCTACAGCCCCAAAAGCCCTAAGCTCCAGAACCTAAAACCCTCCAAACCCCCAAAAACCCCGAGAAGCTGGGAGCCTTCCGAGTCGTGACCAGGATTGCCTGAAGGGGACTTAGTGGAGCTGATTTCGGGATGCGAGGCCTTGCTGGGAGGCCCCCCTTTATGGGTTGAGAGGAACACAGGCTTTGGGGAGCCTTCTGGGTTTTGAGTTTTAGGGCTTTGGGCCATTGGGGTTTTGGGGGGGAGAAGTTCGGGAGGCATCGGAACTCTTCAGGGTTTAGGGTGGATCAGGGAGGTAGAGGTCATGTCCCCTATTTTATGACCTCATGGAGGTATCCTGGTGGTAGTGGAATACTTTAGTATCAAGACACAGTTGGCGGATTTAGAGGCCTCAACATGTTTCGAGCTTCATGGAATTAAGAAATTTAGGATTTACTGTTTGGGGTGCTTTTCTTGGGCTTTGGGGCTCAGGGACGTGGCGAGCAGCTCATATTCAGGCTCTGATAAACCCGAAACCCTAAACCCTCATCATTCTTCGTGCTCAGCCCGCCGACCTGTCAGCGGGGTTTGGGTGTCGGGTTTAGGGGCTGGGGCCTAAGGGTTGCAGGTTTGGGTCTCAGGTTTAAGACGAGGCTTACTACCTTTCTTACCAACGTACGTACTTGCTCACTTACTCGCTCACTCACTTACATGTACAGACATACGCCTCTACAAAAACACACAACACATACACGGTCACATGCAAAAACATGGACATGAACATGTGCATGTACATACACAGGGGTTCTGGCTTACAGTGCACGCTCGTGAAGAGCCTCGAAGAATTGTGCAAGATCCGGTCAACCCGCACAACGCCAGAGCCCAAGAGTCCCCTGAATACGTCCCCGACCCCGCACCGGACCTTCTTCGAGGGCTTCGATGATCAACTGCTGCTTCGACTTCTTCGGCTGCGTGGTCTGTAGTAGCGTCGACGTGTGGGGGATAGGGACAGGGAATCGCTTTATCTCCGACGAAAACCTTGAAGCCCTCAACTCGAATGCTTACACCTCAGCCCGATGCCGTCCGTCAACTCGACGTGAAGGTGAAGGCAAGACTATGGCGAGCTCCTACTAGCTAGAGGTTGAAGCTTAGGGCTCATTGGAACGGATCCTATGCGTTGGATGTCTACGTGATTGGCGGTTAAGGGTCTTGGATTACAACGACGTTCTTGATGCAGTTGAAGTTACCATGGTAATGAGAAGTACCAGTACAATCCTGTGCTTCCCCCACCGCCTCAGAAACAAGAAGATCCCCAGAAAGGGTTGTACAAAGACTGAGTTTGGGGCGCGAAATTGATAAGATACATGAAATGATGCCCTGGCTATGGGCTCATGCACTTAAGGTGCTTAACCCGAGCCCAGAAACCCAGCGCAAGCCCAGAAGTCCCATGCCAATGCACTTACGTTCAAACCCAATCTGGTCCAAAAGCCCTGAACCCGACAGAAAATTGCAGTTGCGTTCATCTTGTTTGGCGAAAAGGCTTCTGAAGAGCCCACAGAAATGCTTTCCGCATCAAGCCAGAGAAAGCCTTGTTAAACCCGCTGTACGGCTCTAAAGAGAGGTACCGAAAAATCCTCATGATCTTTTGGTAAACCCAAACAACTCGAGGCTTCGAGCCTCAGTAAGAAGAGACAGGCAAAGAGGCACTGTAACAAGAATATGTGCCAGAGTCCCAGATCATCAACCAGCAAGTTTGAACCCCACTTACCGTAGTCCTCCGATCTCACCAACACAACCTGTCGAATACAAGACCCTAAATCCTAAAATCTCCGAGCCTTTAAATCCTCAGCCTTACCGCTCTACATCCTGATAGGCAAGATCAGACAGCCCTAAATCGCGAAAGACCCCAGAACTCTCAGACCCTGATGCCCAGATTCCCCAAGCTCTAGACCTTGAAACCATTGAATTCCAACTGGAGCAAAAAGTTAGTCTAACTACAAAATCGATGACCTTAAGCAACTTAAGCAAACGATGTTCCCTGAAATCCAGAAAACTGCCAGCCTCATCCAAAGGTGCAGACGTCGTCGACCCGAAGAGGTGCCTTTGGGTTTCCAAGGGTTTAAGATGCCATGAGGTAGATGCTTATAACGTGTGTTAGGCGGCTTTGTGGGGTCGTCCAGGGTTCTACATAGGGAAGATACAGGGGAATTGGAGTGTTTGAGGGTTTTTTCTTGTTCCAGCATAGAGAGGTTTTGAGGGGGACACTGTTGCTGTCTACTCCGACCTCTGCTGTGTTGGTCGTTAGGCTTTCGGGTTAATTTGATTTGGAAACCAAGCTTCCTACCAAAACCCTAAACCCTAAGAAGTAACAATAACCATAAGAATACTGCTGAAACCCTACTTTAGATCCCCAATTCTGTGAAAGCTTCCAGATGGGAACCCAGGTGCCGATCGTCCAGGATGCCCTTGTTCTGCTCGCACGCAGAAACCTGGTCCTGCACTTTTTGGGGCGGACTTTATTCAGATGTAGAAAAGGCTTCGAGAAGGGTTGTCTGAGGGCTGTGTATGAGGGTTTACTTACAGGGTCCAGGGACTCGAACTGTGCTTGAGGAGTGGCTCGGGGCTTCTAGGTTTCGAGGTTTAGGGAGTCATGTGTTCAGGTGTTGAAGGTGTAGGGCAGGCGCTGCAGCGGCTGTATGAATGGAGTTTAGGGTAGAATGCTGAGCTGCAGCACCCGCCCTCGTTAAGCTACTTACATGTCCACTAGATAGCTACACAGAGGTCTGACACAACGCGCCCCTCAAAACCCTTCTTTAACCGTACCATGGCACCACCCCAAAAAGACCTGTTCCAAATCATTGAAGCCCCAAACCTTCAGGCATAGAAAAAAAAGGTAACATGATGTTTTGTCAAAGCGCATTGAAAACGTGTGGGTCCCGAACTTAAATTAAGAAACATCCGCTGAACTTCTTAACGGTGGTACGCTTTTTGAGGCATCGTAGTTGTGAAGGCTTGTTAGAGCTGCTGTGGCTGAGGTGCGTGAACCGACAGTCTGATGCCTGCCACGGAGTCCGGTTTCTGCCAGGCTTCCGGTGGGCGAGATCGGAAGGCTTTGTATTTCGGGTTCGGCTACGACCGCCACTGCTACGATGGTGACAACAAGACTACTACGACTACTGCGGATGATGATATACGAGTGTGCCATTCCTCCGCTCTTCTTGATGATATTGGGCATGAAACCTCCTGGTGGCCATGATCACGCCGATGCAAAACATGCTGATGACGGCGAAACACTCAAACCACAGACGGGCGCCTGCAGGCCCCAGGGTCTGGGCCCCAGTGCAGACAGCAGCTTGTCCTTGCAGGGTGTTAAAACTGATGCATGACAGACAACCGCAATGCCGCCAGTCCGTGGCCAGCAAACCACCACCACCACCACGAAAATCTTTGACATCAACCAGCATCTACATCCGTGACAGTTTCAGAACCATCTCATACTCCCCCCACCGTCTATATCATCATCAGCCTCAGCGTCGTCGTCACCACTGCACCATCGGTGACCTCCACCATGGCCATAGACATCAAAGCAGTGACCGGCGGCGTCAAAGCAGAAGTTCAGGGTTTTGAGTGAGGAATACAAAGGCTTGGGGATTCAGGCTTAGGAAGTTTGCCGTTTAGGGTGCTGCGTCTGTTCATGTCAAGCAGAGAACTCGTGAACATGCTGAGAAACATACGAGTCATCATGACAAGCTATGATCGCGCATCTCCAACCTTCGACGCGCGGCCCAACTGCGCTCAAGCCCTCGAGCCCCAGCTCTCAAAACGCCTAGATCAGCAATTGCACTACTACTTTCATGAAGCATAGCATCAACGAGAACGAGAACCGCGACAGCATTGGGTATAAACGTAGTGGGATGGTAATGCTGCGTGAGTAGATACTGTGATGACCACATATGGAAATGGTACGGCACAATTACAAACTCGCAGAGTGGACTGGTATACATTAAGCAATAATGGCAGCTTCAACGATGCTTGGTGTAAATACATGAATATACATACACAGCTATCTATCTATCTATCTATATGCGAACAAACAATGACTAGCACAACAACCAACCCGATACCACGGACCTGTAGTAATAGTAGCAACAGCACCATGATACTGTAGTAACATCAACACTTGCAACAACAATTACAACAACAAAAGCATCAATACTGACAAGAACCCCCAGGAATCCCAAGAATGATGACCCCAAAGCCGGAACCCGAAAACTAAGTTCATTCAGGAGGCGCAGTCGTGACCAAGACGGGCCCGGCAGAGGGCTGCCAAATACCTGGTTCAGCTAGCTTTGGGTTTAGGGCTCGGGTTTTAGAAGTTTGGGGCGAAGCTTGCTGCCACCAGGACCCCAGAAAACGCTGAAAAGCCTCAAGAGCCTGAAATCAGTAGTCAGGACCCCCCGAAGATCCACTACAAGTATCGTCCCCCAAGAATTGACCTCCAGTTCCGTGGGTTTTGGCAAATGGAAGCTCGGATCTTTTCCCGCACCTGTGCGGCTTCGTGCTGCAGGAAAATCTTGCACTTGAACTCCACACCCGAATCCGAAACCCCAAAAATCAGCTCCTGGAGGAGCCTTCATAACTTTCTACTTGAAGGCTCATGGGACTTAGTAAGTATGGTTATAAGTACCTTAATTGGGGTTATATGTATAGTTACCTTAAAAATAACCGTAATTACTAAGTCCCCTGATCCTTTAAGTAATGAAGTTTTTTTTTCAGGGCCGGGTCAGGACTGGGTTTCCGCGATTTCCTGATGGCTTTTTCCCAGAGACTCCAATATCCCTTAATTAAGGAATATACCTTAAATCATATTAGGGATCCTACTATAATTGAAGGTATATGCCTTAATTAAGGGATATTGGAGTCTCTAGGTTTTGCGAGCGCTGGCGTAAGTCCTTCAACCCGTGGCCCGAGAACTTGTCTGCAGCCGAGGCACATGTCGTCCTGTGGCAAGGGTATTTGCAGACGGGTTTCGGGCTCTGAACCCTAGAGTAGGGTTTGGGGATTGGAGGCTTCATGGTCTGGAGTTTGGAGGTTCATGGTTATTAAGTTAGGGTATGTACACGCGATTACCCTGATGAAGCCTGTCCCCAAGCAGCTTGAACAAACAAAACGCCCCAGACCCGGAATCCTAGAACCCCAAAACTCTCCCTAGGACCCGCTTGGTTTTAAGCCTAGTAGCGAGGCAGAAACCCGTACTGTAAGTTGGGGCTTGGAGGTGCTTAAAGCAGCAAGGGATCAGGGCGGCTCAAGGGCTTTAAGGCTTCGTAGTTCGGGTTTGCGGGCCTGTGGAGTAGGGTTGGAAGATCGCGGGACTCCTCATGCGTAAATTCTCTGAGCAAGATAGGCTCATCCGCGGGGACGCATGCCACGTACCAAATCCCCAATCCCTCAAGTAGAAACCCTCAACCTGCGGAGAGCAGAGAACAACCGTCTTCTCGGGAACTCATGGGTTTTGGGTTCAGGGAATCGATTTTGGGCTTAGGGCTTAGGGGCTTGGGATGCAAGGGCCCAACCCACCAAAACCCGAAGCCCAAGGCCCGGCGGGGTCCATCTCCGCAACGCTGGCCACCAGGTTCTGGCAGGCATCGCCTTGAAGCAGCTCGGGCTGCGGGCTCCCGAAACGAATGTAGGAAGCCCTGAACCCGAAAAAATTCGGGGAAGCTGAGCTGCAGTCTTCGGGATATCACGTGTTCGAGAGCAGGGACTATGTCGGCGTCTCAGGCAGGACTTCAAAATCAGACCGGGCATCCACGAACCTCTAACCACCAAGCAGGGTCGGGTACCCGCCACAAGCATCCAGAAGAAGCAGAAAAAACTCCTACCTTTCATGGCATCGGTGTACGCTTCTCGTAAATTGTTCCGGCCAACCCTATTGTAAACCATAATGCCGGCGTTACTATATATTAAAGGACCTTCAAACAGCGTGCAAAGCCAGTTCTGCTTGTAAGACCCCTTGCAAGACTAGCTGCCGCGCGTCTAAAGCCGAAACGATAACTTGGCCATTGGCTTTCTGAACTCCAGACCACGAGGCCTACAGACACCTCAGCAGAAGCCAGCGGCAGCAGGATTGCCAGACCTGCAAACAATAATCTTTTTGCTTTAGGGTATCTAATCTATGGCCTTTGCGATTTAGAATACATTGTCTAGCGTCTGGGATTGTGCGTCGAAGTTTTGGGGTCAGGGGTTTTGGATTGTGATGATATGATGATGATGATGATGACGATGATGATGATGATGAAAGTCGGCTGTTGCTGTCGCCACCGCTGCTGGCAGTAATGGTGACGGTGGACATGCAAGGTTTTTCTATCGCTTCTAGGCTTTTGAGATTATTACCTCAGCACCGGGGTCCTGGGTAAGAGAACCGCTCACAGGAGGCAAAAGGATCAAGCAGGACTTAGCAAACTGCCCAACACCTGGGAGATTGTACGTTCGGATTCCACATCAAGGCTTGATGAGCCTCAAGGTATCTTTTCCAGCACAGCAGAACAGTGTTCAGCGTCGAGCAAACCCCGCATGGTTCTGACGCCGGGCATTTGGACGGTGAAGTTGGTCCTGGCCTGTTCTCAGGAGCCACATCGGTGACGCCATGGTGCTCCAGTGAACAGCGAGGCAATCGGATGCTTTAGGGCGTAGGAGTGTGGGAGTTTGGTGCTTGACTCCAGGTTTCGGTAGGGCAGGAAATAATTCGCCACTTAGTCATGCGTCCCAAACTGCTGTGTCATCTTGTGCCAAGAGGCTGCAAGAATTGAACCTCGGTCCAACAGCCTCTCAACCTTGAGACTCCAAAAAGCCTTTGCCCACGAAGCAAAGCCTTGATGCAGACCTGAAAACACGAAAACAGACTTGGCTGTCGTCGGGTGTGGCAAGCTTCAATATGTGTCGCTTGGTTAGCAAACTTCTGGGTGGGAACCCTCCTCTACACTCAAGCCAGGAGAACCTAAGCCAGGGCCCAGTACGAGTCCACGAGAAACTGAAACGTCGGCCATTCGGGATAGGCGTCAACCAGAAGTCCGGGCGAGACTCAGCTGCCACATGCTAGCCCTGAACCTAAAACCCTAAAAGCCTGAACCCCATGTAACCGGAAACCCTAAAGCCCCAACTCAGCCAAAGCAGCTCATGTAATTTTTGTCTACTCATAGCTCGTTGCGCATGGACTGCCAGCTGCGAAGATATCTGTCCTCGCCTGGTCTGCATCAAAGGTGAAGCACTCTGTTGCTGATGATGTTTAGCGCTTTACGATTCTAGAGCTTAGGACGCTAGTCGGAACTTCTCGCCGCAGTCGTAGCAGTTTTCGTGATTATCACTGTCCTCCAGCTCGTCGTCGTCGCAGTAGTTGTAGTAGCAGCAGCAGCAGGAGTAGTAGTAGCAGTAGCAGTAGTAGTAGTAGTAGTAGTAGTAGTAGTAGTAGTAGTAGTAGTAGTAGTAGTAGTAGTAGTAGTAGTAGTAGTAGTAGTAGTAGTAGTAGTAGTAGTGGTAGTAGTAGTAGTACGAGTACGAGTACGAGTACGAGTGCGAGTGCGAGTACGAGTACGAGTCGAGTATGACTAGTAGCAGGAGGAAGAGTCGCATGTAGTTCAGGCAGCAGCAGCGGCAGCAGCAGTTCCAGTAGTGGCAATAGTAGTCATCGTCGTAGTCGTAGCGGTGGAGTACAGTCGCAGCATGCTATTTCTGGCCGTCCCTACGCCATGTGCTCCTGTCGGGTTTCAGGGAGTGTGGACATCACATGTGGATCTGAACCCGCGAAAGAATGCGACGGCGAAGGCTTTTGCAGCTGCGGGGCCCTTCTTGGCGAGAGCCTCGCGGGCGGCGAGGAGTTCCTGTCGCAAACACGACCTCTAGCACAAGGACTGGATGAAATGTCACGCCTCTCTGTTAGAGGCGCACGACGACAAGGATGGTGTGGCTGTGGTAGTAAGTAGCAAGAGGCAAGAAGTAAGTCACAAGTGGTCATGCAGTCAGTGGTGGTGATGGCCGTAGCGGCGGTGGCAGCATAACACGTGCCTGCCTGTCTTCGTCAAAGATATCTACGTCCTCAACGCCGACAACTCAGTATCACTCGAAGCCAGGAAACATAGCAAAGTAATAAAGCCAATACAGGGGACGAGGCAAAATGGCTACAACCCCTAAATTTCCCGTCCTCCAGCGTCACTGAGCCGTCACCATTTTGGTCTGCAATATCCGTCATGCCTCTGTTTGTAAGGGTCTTGTGGAGTTTTAATGGCTTGGTAGCGTCGTTCCACGTCCCCAGTCCCCCCTTACCTTCGCTTAAGCCCTCTCTTATTCCCGAACAAACCTCATGTGAGGGATAAGGAGTGTCGCTTGACAAGGGCAGGGTCCCCGATTGAACCCCTTAAATTTTAGACTCCATGTAAAGGAGGCACCGTGTCGCTGCACTTCGGAGCTTGGGGGGAGGGGCGGCGCGGAGGAAGGCGTGGGGGAGGCCTGTGAATGCTGGCTCACATAGGGCCCTGTGATCACCTGACATCCTCAACTCAACGAGTCCACAAAAAGATGCCGAGCTTCGGCGCATGCTCTCCGCGAAGTCCAAGGCTCCAGAGGACATCCTGGGATTCTGAATTCAAGGATTGTAACAGATATGTGAGACGTATAGAATGTCTAGGTGTCATGCAAGGTAACACGGCTTCGAAGGCTTTGTCAGGTTCTGTGGGATCCTTCAAGGATGAGAAGACAATTGCAGCGACACTTGCGGGCTCGTGGGAAGTTCTACGCAGAAAACCTAAGCACCCCACATTGTCAGTATTTCTAAGCAGAGTGACCTCACCAGTGCCCTGTTTGCAAGTACCCTGGATCCTTTCCCTTCAGTTAGCACTGCTACCAGCGACATCATTGCTGCTTTGGATTACTTTGCCCGGCTGACATTTCCCACATCGTACGAAGGGGTCCTGAAATGCTTCAACTACTGTATCTGTTCTACAGCAGATGGGAGGGCTCCAGAATTCAGCATCTGAGCCAATCCTATAAGGCTCACCAAACATGTCCAGACGGCTCCCAAATCCATAAACTGAAAAACAGCAATGACAGTATCAATACTGACAATAGCAGTAACAATGCTAGGGCATAGGGTTTAGGGCTTAGGGTTTAGGGCTTAGGGTTTAGGGCTTAGGGTTTAGGGAAAGACAAGAATAGCAAAAAACCGCACCGAACTCCAGCCCAGGATCTGCTCTAGCTCCGCCAGCTGGATCTTTCCGTCCTCGGAGGGTTCCAGAGATGGGAGCTTTTGGAGTGCAGCCTTCGGGGGGACCTTTGAGTTGAGTGGTTTAGGTCTTATAGGGTTATAGGGTTACAGGGCCGTAGGGTTTTGGGGTTATAGGGTTTAGGGTTGAGGTAGCACAGAAGAAGCAACCGCGACACACCTCTGACCCTGCTTATCATCAAACCTGTAGCTTCAGGTCGTTCCAGCTTCTTGTTGTGATGCTGAAGTCTCCTAAACCCATGACAGGAGTCCGGGGTCCTAAACCTCGTGAACCCTGAACCCCAAAAAGCCTGCGAATGGATTGTTTCGGGCTTAGGAGGTTGGATCTCTAATGCTGGGCAACCCTCCATGAAAATCCGAGGAGCACCGTCCGTGTCCACCCTCTGAAAGTCCACAGGCCCACTTTTGGCCTGGAACTCACTCCTTGGGGCAGTCAAGTAGTGTGTTGGTCTGGGGCTCCAGGGCTTTGGGGTTGTAACGTTTCGGGTGCGGGGCCTCGACGGTGCAATGTTCCAGTATCAGCTTGCATCTAACGGTCCAGTTTTCCTAGGCTTGGAGTGGGACGAGCATCTTGTATGGAGATCGAACTAGCCCTCCCGGCGGGAAAGAAGCGACCGCCGCTTGAACGTGAGCGAAAGAGACAACTATCATAATCATAAGCACGGACTTGAGTCCTGAAAAGCTAGGAGAACAGCTTCACGAGAATCAGCTTGCCACTGAATAAGACTGCAAAAGAAAGCAAGCATGGCAAGCGCAAGCTGGCTGCCCCAGCAAAGCCTGAGGGGTGGGGAAGGGGTCTCATGCCCAGTCTGTTCGACGAAGCCCCCTTTCTGCGCTGCCGAGCGGCTCGGACAGAACGCCATCTTCATCCTTATCCAAGGTGTCCATCAGGTGTGCAGCCTCAACCGCAGATGCCTGCACAGAACTGAAGAAATAAGGGATTCAGGGCAGAGGGCTGAGAAGAGGCGCTGCGCAGAGCGGAAGGCATGACACCGCTGCCAGCAGTTAGTACTCTGCCCGCCTTCGTGTCCAAATTCGGGTGGAAGAAGAGGACCAGCTCAGATTGCGACAAGACCTCACGCTGCGATGTTCTAGTCGGCAGGCCAGTGGAACCAGAAATATCAGGTGAGTGACGGAAAACGTGTAAAGGGCTCAGGGCTGAGGGCTTGGGGCTCGCGGTTTAGGCTATACTGCAAACCCCCAAGGATCCCTTCGCCCGTGCACGTTCCCCCCCCCACCCCACCTGTCCGCCGCCGAAAGGCTCTATGATATCATGAACCAACCCTCACCTTCGTACCCACAAAGCGTCCAACTGCATGCTAAACCCTTGCCCCGTGTGCCACAGTAGCCGAAACCTGAACGATGAAGCCCTAGCATGGGGGCCTTGGGAGTCAGACCAGGGTCGCGCTGTTTGGTGACACTATAAGTGCACTCTATGGGGATGCTATAGTGCTATAGCCGAAGCCGGTAGCCATGAACCCTAAAGCCGCGGCTTCAACTGCAGCCAGAGCTCGCCGTCCTTGTCCGCCTACAGGGGATGAGCCGCTGTGGGAAAAGGGCAGCAGTCTGCGAGGCCTCAACCCTTGATCTTCATACCTCAAACTGCAGGGCCCCTTTGGATCTTGCACTACTGATCCTCAAATGAAAAGCAGAAACCTCTGCGGCGCTTGAACATGGATGCTTCAGTCAGGGGTTTTGGGAGCCTCGTGACCCCGAAAAGCCTGTAAGTCCCTTGCATGCTGCTACCCCTGACACGTTTTGAAGGCTGAGCTGAGGTATGTGAGCATTTCTGTGAAGGGCCCTGTGGAAAAGCCGCCCCTGCTGGGTGCCCGTGGTCTGGCGCTTTGGATGTAGTTCTTTGCCGTTATGAGCTTCCTTTGTCGCCTGCTGTCTGGCTCTATCCCGCAAGCCACGGCCGCAGAAACCCCCAGCAAAGGCCTGTCGTCCAACCCCAAACCCGGGAGCCCTGAAAAAGACGACTTCTGGCTGTGGGGAGGCCGAGCTGCATCGACTTCTTGAAACTTCACCTCCTCCTTTTTGTGCTCCTTCTTGATCCCCTGCAAGGGTTTCGGGCGTCGGATGACTGAACGCCTCGAAACCGCCAGAGACCCCTTCAGCCCCGCATTCATGGGAGAAGGCCGTGCCCGACAGCCACCCTACCAAATGGAAAGTCTGCCTGCAGGTACGCTAAGCTCCGGTATGCGCCTTCTTCTAGATATTGCCCCAAGCCAAAACCCCAATGAAGCCATATGAACCTCACATAATGCAAGCTTGTACAAGCCTTGCGGGCAATGCAGGAGCTTGCCTATCCCTACAGCAATATCGTTTTCGGAATGATAAGCAACATCATCCCCACAGCACTATCGGGGTCGGAATGACTAGTGACCTTACAGTTGCTAGCAATGTTTTTTCGAAGTCTTAAAGCAGCTCACGTTGAGCTGCTCACCTACGGGGAGACTTCCGTTTCTACTGATAGGTACTTGAAGGCTCATGGGACTTAGCAAGTAAGGTTATAAGTAGGTTATAATTAGGATAACCCCACTTAGGGGACTGATAACCCCAATTATAACCTACTAAGTCCCTCTTGATCCTCTAAGTATGCCGGGCTCCCAAAGCTTCAGTCTGGGGGTTTAGGGGTTAGTTTAGGGTTTAGGGGCTTAGGTGTTGGGGGCTTAGGGTTTAGGGGTTTTAGGGTTTGGGGTTTAGTTTAGGGGTTTATAGTAGAAGCCAGAAAGTTGGAACATGGCTTTAGGAGGATTAGAGCTAGGATCCCTTATACTTTACCTTGAGGGCATGGGGATATGATGCTCCAACTTTCCGGCTTCTGCTAGAGGTTTAGGATTTACTTGAAAGCCTCAGTAGAAGACCCTAAACCCAACGCCCCAAATTGAGACAACACAATAGCATGAAACACTCAACCAAACGAGTGAAACCGCGAAGGTGCTTGCCAAGCAGACGCCATATCAACCCAAACTCGAAAATCCATGAACCCAATCGCCTCGGCTGTACGCACGCACACTTTAGCCCCCGAACCTGGAATCCTGTACCTTGCCAGACCCGCTCAGTGACCCTTCCCGAACCTCAAACCGATAACACCCCTAACCCCTGAACCCGAGACCCCCAAACCCTAAGCCTTTCGGCCTCGGGATCGATGTTGTGTGTGCTCATGCCAATCTGGGCCGGAGGTTCCACTTTAGGGCTTCGGGCTTCGGGAATTCAGTCTTCAAGGAGAGCTTGACTGATGAGGTCTACGATTTAAAGCATTCAAGTAAAGCTTAGGGCTCAGGGCTTGTCTACACTCGGAGCTACAGAAAGCCGGAGGGTGAAAATCCCTTCTCCAGCAAGCAAGCGGGTTCAGGGCTTCAGGAAAGAAGAAAGTCCAGCAAGAGTGGTCAGCCATCTGCGGTGAAGTGCGAGTATGCAACGACCTACATCTTGATATACAGCATGGTTGGCTGGTGTGTTTGGCAACCTACGATGCAACAAGAAGAGAGCGAAGGGCCACGAACCCGGAAATCCCACGATCCCTGGCCAAAATGCCGCGTCAACGGAACTTACCATGGTGTCATTGAGGCTTAAACTCACTCGCTTGTATACTAGCATTCTGAGCCGGGAAGACTCCTTTCAGGGATCCAAGCCAAAAATCAAAACAAGTCATGAACACCCAAACTGTGAACAGCAAAGCCTAACCCAAACCCCAAGCTCTAAACCCCAAACACAAAAACAAAAAAAGACACGCTTACAGCACTACGCACCCCATAAACCTTAAGATCCCAATAAACTCCAAGCCCTTGCAGCACCTTATGGTACCCTCATAGATCCTGCAAAGGAACCCTTAAAAGATCCCAATAGCTTAAAACACTACGTAGACCTTAGCCGGTGTTCACCAAAGCGGCTTTGTGATTGGCTTCCTTCACCTCCTCGAAGCTCAGCTTTCCGTCCTGGTGCAGCAACTGGGTCTTTTGGGGTTGTAATTGTAGAGTGATGCTTAGGGGGCCCCTTGCTTGGGAGTTTTGGAGATTTGCTAATGCACGAGAACTTGTTGAGGTTTTGTAGCTGCTGGGGCAAACAGCGGGGTAGCTTTAAGCAAACACAGGGGAAGGGTCCGAGCTTCAAAAAAACAAGCCCTCTAAGGGGCCCGGCCCGGCCCAGAGAGGGGCAGAGATTGGGACCCCCTCGGGGCCCCTGGAAGTGTGCTGAGGCACTGAGGAGCAAACCGGCCTCATCCTCGTCCATCCACGCAGGCAAGGTGAAGAACTTCCTGGGTCCCAGCTGGGCTCCCAGGCAACGGGATATCAACCGCTCACGGAATGTGTCGACTTCATCCGAGTCCCTTATAACATCCCGTGAACTGGTGAACCGGTTTGTGTTTTGGGCTTCGAAAAAGAGCTGAGAGTCTCCGCGTGGCGCCTGGCCGTCTGGGTGTTGAAGCTCTTCAGCTCTCCCTGGGGGGCTTCGGTGTTCCTTTGTCTTCGACTTACGTGTCTTTGCGAGGTCATGTTCGGGTAAATTCCGGGTGAATCGGCAGCCATAAGTATGCTTGCAGTTCATGATAGGGCCTTAATCATTAGAATAGGCCTTAGGGTGATTAGCCAGAGACTCCGATCCGTCTCATTCGGCTACGAGTTGTGCCTGAAGCCACAGTAACTGCACTTGCGCTCCTCAAACAGGAGCCCTTTCAAGTCGCTGGGTGCTGCTGTCATCACTAAGACGGCGTCAGGTGCTGCTACGGCGGTTCCCAGGCTCCAGCCAAGGCTGGGACTGAAGATGACCATTCTTTAGAAGGGGCCCGGGCCACCCTGTAATAGTGGTGTAATAAGAATATAATAGGCCCTAATATAATCCTTATAGTCACTATTACAGGGTGGGGGCCCTTTCGAAACCATTCTTAGTCTCTTCAAACATCGTTAAACCAACACAGACGTGGGCTGCCGCAAGTTGCAACTACTCAGTTGGATGCAAGACCCGATGAAACCTGCTGGCACCAGGAACAACCTCCCGAGATTGAGATATCCACCTCCGCGGCCCTAAGCCTCACATAACACGTATAAATAAACCTTACACCTTAACCATGTTCCCTAGACCCTACACCCTAAGATCCTAGTATTACAGAACGCAAGAAAATCCCCCCTCCCACGCCCGAGGGCATGTCCAGCTGACTGCAGGAAAGATTCCAGGGTCACTTTGCCATCCTTGTCTTCGTCGATCACCCCAAACAACTTTCCTGAGCGCAGTGAAGACGGCCAGGGATTCGGATGAACGTACGTGGTGCATGTTACCAGACATTGATTTTTTGTTACCTTGCTTTGTATACACTACATTGCACTATTGCTGTGCTCGCGCATTTAATGCATACGGTTGCCTTTTGCCTTCTAGGCTTACGCCTGGGATGCGGAGCCTGCACGGTAGATTCCGCATTCGAGTGCTGTGTAGTGCACAGAAGGTCATCTCCGAGATGAACCCCTCAACCCCAAACCCTAAGCACCTAGATTGATCGACTGCTTCTTCCTCCACTTTCTCAGCCATGCCAGAACATAAATGTATCGAGCCTATATCAGTCCTGACCAGGAGTCCAAGAATGCGGGACCCCGACCCAGGCCGCCCAGGCCTGCATTGCAGGATGCTCACCATAAGTGGAGGAGCCCCCAAAATGCTTCAGACCCTACAGAGCAAAGCAATACGAGCGTGAAGATGACCAAAGACCCGGAACCTCAAGTGCGAAGCCCTCCAAACCCTACTTGAAGGCTCACGGGACTTAGTAAGTAAGGTTATAAGTAGGTTATAATTGGTATAACCCCACTTAGGGGACTTATAACCCCAACTATAACCTACTTACTAAGTCCCATGATCCTCGAAGTAGGCCCGAAACTCCAGACCCTTAGAGCCTGCGCGTAAAGCCCTAGCCCCGGAACGCTCAAACGTCATCAAGACTCTGCCCAAAACCCCCAGCCCTGATCCCTACAGCCCCAATCCCCCCCACAAAAGGCCCCGAGGAATCCCTTAGTTGCTGAGCTCATAAGCCCCAAACAGTGTACACTTTCAGTTTTTTGTAGTGGGCAATATTATCCCAAAAAGTTTATAAAGTGTATCCACTCAGCTACTTAGAACTCTTCATCCGGTTCGGTGCCCAGTCTCGGAGGTCCTCATCGGTCACTTGCCCGCGGTCTGCATTGGTTTCGGGCTCGGGGGTTGTTTGGGGCTTACTATAGGGGCCTTAATCATTAGGATAATGCTTTGGGGCCCCAAATACTATATTCATAATAAGGAACCCCCAAAATACCTATATCATAGTACCCTTATAGTATCGCTTATAGACCCCTTTAAGTTTTGAGGCTTTGGGTTGAAGGTCTCAGGCAGCTGAGGGCCTCCATGGTTTTCGACTGCGTTTTAGATTTCCATGGCGGTTTGTATGAATTCTACTTTAGGCTTTAGGGTTGTTCTAGGGTCAGGGTTCAGGGGTGTCCGGCTTTGAGGGTTTAGGTGTGTTGAAGTATTTCGGGGGTTGTCGGGGGGCTTGTGAGCTTTAGGGTTTGGGACTGTGGCATTTGGTTTGATCAAGGCTTCAAGTTAGGGGTCCTAAGGGTTTCGGAGTTTAAAGTTAACGGTTGAGGGGTACATGCTCTTGAGAAAAAGTTGGACACCTCGTTGTGCACCCGAGGGCATGGATGGGCCTCGGGTTCGCTTGATATGGTCATGGACTGAATGAACTCGACTACACCTATGTCCCAGAGAGCCTGCTGTCTCGCTCATCACCAAGCGAGCGGCGGCCGTGAGCAGCCTGAGGTGCTGTCTCGAGCTCAGGGCGAAGAGTTTGTTTTGGAGGGCCATGCCCCTAAGACCGCGAACCCTTTCAAACCCTCGGTGGTTTTGTGTTGAGGTTCTCGGGTAGAGCGCCGAAGGAGCCGCAGATACCACTGCAGTTTAGCCGCCCGACAACAGTTTCTTATGTGGGGACCACAAGAGGAAAATGTTACCTGTTTTCCTGAGCCCTTTGTATTCCCTAAAGACACCAGAACAGAAAGTTATGAGGTCCTGAATACCTGCATCTAGATGTGTCTTGAAACCACGTCTGCCAATAAGGTGCCAAACGAAGACCTAAACAGCTTGGATAGAGTTCCGTCCGTATCACACCATAGCATAGCGGCTAGAAGGCAACACGGTTCTGCGCGGATGGTCGGCATTCAAATTCCAACCTCTCTTGCCGGCTACAGAACTGAAAGCCTCACCGAACCATCTCCAGCTTGGCCATCCCATCCAACGAAACTGGGAAAAAAAACACAGCATCTTGGGCGGCAACCTTGAAGCCGCTAAGCCAACTACACCTAGATGACCTCGAGTCTCCAAACCAGCCTTTCGCAGCGTGGTTCCAAAGATACGTAGCATAGAGCAACAATACTGTTGTTCGCCATTCGGGCTATCGCATCGCGTCGGCTCCTTGAGCTAGACAATGTTATCCCGTTGCAGGCATGGCACAGCACTGCCAGACTGCACGTCATCATGGCTTCAGGAACAGATCTACACGGTTTCAACTTGGTATACAAAGGCGGAGCTGGCTGCAGTGATCAGTTGAGGTGTATCTGTCCTGGCAGCTTTGCACCCTTGGTGTAACCTAGACTGCGTGACTTCTTGTCGAACTGCATGCATCCACAGCAGCGGTACTCGCAGCCGCACACGCACAAACAAAGAGGGAATTTAAGTATCGCAGTCCCATGACCAAAATGACCGGGCATGCTGCACCTTATGCATGCCTTGCAAAATCAGCCAGCTTGCACACGATGATGGCTTCTGGCTCAATACCCGGGCACATCGGAAGGAATTCCAGTTTCGAAGCGAGCGCATGACGAGGCACAACAGCTGCTGATAAAGTGCCGCAAAGCTGAATGGCCCCCTAGATGGGCTGGGGCACCAGGTTGCACATAGTCGAGTAGCAGTCTTAGCAGTCCGGGACAGAAGCGCCGACATGAGGGCAGGGGCTGGAACAACAAACTTGTCTAGGGTTTTCGAATCGAGGAGCAAATCAACAGAAAAACAGTTCGAACAACTGCAAAACCGCAGCACAAGGAACGATTCGACATAGCAGCGTGGGCGATGGGGGAACACGAACTTAGAGAGCAGAAGCGTCGATTCGAGGGAAAGTTCAGGGTTCGGGATGTACCATTGAGGCTTGAGCTGACTGTTTCGGGTGTCGTTGTCCTTAAGCCCTGAACGCACATCTTTACTGGCGAAAGCATCGGGCAGCCATTGGCGCCTTCTCGTTCCTCCAAATAAGCAGTTGTTTTCGCCCTGATCTCCCCATGCCAGGCTAACTGACATCTTCCTCATCGTACTCCCAAAGCCCTCCACCCTAAACCTCAGATCCGCAACCCCAAACCTAAACAAACCCTCGTACCTTGAGCCCAACCCTGTACCCCAAACTGGAACGACTGGGACTGGTGACTAGCTCGCAGACTCATGATCTCCCGAGATCATGGAAAGCTTTACAGCATGTGCGAGCAAAGTTCGTGAAAAGGGATCCGAAAAAAAAAGGTACATTTAGGCTTTCTGGGCGGAAAGCAAGGAATGTCTTGGGGCTTGCTGTGGCTCTGCCTTTGTAGGGAGACGGACCACAACCGCGGAACCAAAATCCGAGACCTCTTCGAGGTGTCGGCACAGCTAAAGCTCTAAGTGGCTTTGACGGCGACCAGAGGAAGAGGGAAGCAAACAACCTAGGACCTAGGATACTATGACTTCATTCCGGTTACTTTGGACGAATGTAGGCTGGGAGAAGAACGTACCACAAATGCAGAGGGACTACAACCAAGAGCGGAGCAAATTGTTGACATTGCAGCTACTCTGTTAGATCCGTAGGAGACTTCGTAAGTAGGGGTGTCAGTAAACATACATCAAGCAAGTTACTTCAGACCACAAGCTTCTCCACTTTATCACCTCTTTTGGAAACTATTGCACGGAAGCCAGGGTACCTGACTGCGGGTACATCACGAGAATCTGGGGATGAACACAAACAATCGGGACCTCTCCGTCCTCAAGGCCACAGGGAAAAGAGCCCTTTTCGAGGGCCGGGCTTCTTGACCTCGCAGAGAACGGCAACACACGAAGCCAACTGTACACCTTCAAAACAAAAGAGATGAAAGAATCGAAGGGCCAAAGCCGCGAGGACAAGTTAAATCCAAATTTTCGAACGCGGGGCATAGCATGGCCCTAGAATCGCACCCGAGCGACGCGCCACGTGACGTCTGATGGCCGGGGGCGCTCACTTGGAGGCCTGCTGCTTCCCAGCTTGCTGGGCCCATTGGCCCTGCTTTCCTTGCTGGCCGTGCTGACCTTGCTGGCCCTGTTTTCCCTGCTGACCCTGGCCCTGCTGACCTTGCTGGCCGTGTTGACCCTGCTGGCCGTGTTGACCCTGCTGACCTTGCTGGCCGTGCTGGCCCTGTTGGCCCTGTTGGCCCTGCTGGCCCTGCCGTCCCTGCTGGCCCTGCTGGACTGCCTGCAAGTCTGAAGGTCCTCGGTTGACATAGCCAGTGCCAAAGAGATGCCACCGATACTACTGGACGGCTCATCTTCCAACCCGCAATCGAGACCCGGCAATGCAAACCAGGGGATTGGGGGTTTGGGCTTCTGGGCTGATGGGGCTCCAAGGCCTCAACGTTCAGTTTCAGGACCTTCAACTTGGTGTCCCTGTCAGCTCCAGTACCATGAAGGTAGGTTCTGTAAGGGTACTGTAAACCTGTCAAGCCCCAAGCAACTACCTGGAAGCCCGAAATCTTGTCAGCTGAGACCCCCAAGCCCAAAACCCCCAAGCGCTTCACTGCCCTGCAGCCCTGAGATCTGAGACCCGACATCACCAAAAGGTGCCAGAAATTTTCGTCGAGTCACGGCAGGGCGGAGCGATGCGACGAAGCCTGAAATTTAGGAGCTCTGGTAGGGTCGAAGCTCAAGGATTACAGGGCTCAAGGGCAGGGTCCGGTACTAAGTCTAGGGTCGAAGCTCAAGGCTGTTTTGCAGATCTAGGGGTCTGGTTTCGGGTTGAGGGTCTTTGAGGCACTTGAAGGCTCGTGCAAGGCTGTTGCACGGGCCTTCGTGCAACTAGCGAAGCTGTTAGTTGTGGCGACTATTGCAAGAGGTCTGGGGTCCAGGTGTATGAAGGTTTTGCATTAACTGGGGCTGCAAGTGCTGAAAGCAAGAGCCCTGTACGGCTGAAACCCTGGTGCAGTCCGCGCAGCTTCTTCCACGCATCTGCAGTCATGCCACGCTCCTCGTTGAAGGGGACGGAGGGGCTCAGGCTCTGTCCAGGAGTTTAGAGCAACCATCAGAGAGATCGAGAGAACATAGTGGCTTCAAACATCATTGAAACTGCCCCACGCCTCGCACTTTTTCACAAGGCAAAGAATGGAGAATGGGACTCTAACCAAAGCCTACGGAATTTGAGGGCTTGCAGGGCTTGAGAGCTTCAGGATAGAAGAAGCGTTTCAGACCACATGGAGGCCCTCACAAGCCTAAGGGTCTGTCGCACAATGAACGGAAGCCCAAAAAAAGTGTTACGAACCCGGTAAACCGCCCCCCAAACACCCTATATCAACCGCCAGACAGCCCTTAAATTCAGAGAACCCCACAGAAACGATTGAAACCCTAGAAAACCTTTCGCTCGGAAGCCCCCCCAATCGAAACCCCCCCCCCACCCCAAAAAGAAAAACATAGCTCTTCTCAAGCCCTGGCAGAGGCGGTGCCTTCAGCACGCAGACCGGATCACTGGACTCCAGCTTGGGCACGCGGCCATCGGTCTCCTTGAACCACCTGAGCGGGGGCCTTTAGCTTAGGGTCTACGGTGTGTATGTAGGTATTAAGACGGTTTAGGGTCTAGGTTTTAGGGTGTCGGGCTTTAGGGTTTAGGGTTTGGGACTTGGGCTTTGGCTTTTCGGAAACCGGGCTTCCGAAAAGACTTTGAAATAGGGGGCTTCAGGAGCCAGAATGTGTTGGGGCATGCTAGACTGCGCATAATATACATTAGGGAACATCAGGCTTTAGGCCATACCCTAAACCCTAAACCCATGATGTGGCCAAGAGCCGCAATCTGAGTAAATGGGATGCGAGGTCTCATGCGAGCGATTCGACGATTCAGTCTCAGGGCTCAGCCTTTAGAAACTTGGGCGCTCTGGTTCGACGGGTTGGGCCCCAATGCTTTTATTCCACGAAGGCTCCGACATGACAGCCCAACCCTAAGTTGCAGCTCTTCTCCATGCCTAACTCATCGCTCAGCTGATCTCTGCTAGATGACCTTCAACCCTACGGCCCTAGGGCCCTGCTGCGTGCAAGCCAAATTCACTTGTCCATGTCGTCCTTGACCAAGTTCTTGGCGTCAATGCAGGAGGTCGGCATGTCACCCTGCGAGGTCGGGCAGTTGCAATAAAAATCCAACGAAAGGGCCTCAATCATCAAAGCTGAAGCTTCATGAACCAAGCGACTCTGATGGATGACGCCTACAAGGTCAGATCGCTCAGTGGGCTATAAAAGCTATAGACAGAAACATAGAGGTAGTAGCTCCATTTGTGACCGACTAATTAAATCCCTGATCCTGGACGTAGGTAGCAAAGTGGAGGAAGCTCGGGTTCAGGGAGTTTTGAGGTTTTCCACTCATTCAGGGTCGCTTGGAGTTTAGAGTTTATCCCAGGTCCCCTTCTGTCCTCCTGGGCCAGGTGCAAGACGGAGCCATTGAAGGCGGTCCTGTTTGCGATTAAGTCTCTACGAAGCCTAAGCACTCAAGAAGGGTGCTTTTGGGGATTCCACGAGAGTGTCGTGAGGGCTCTGCTAGTACGGGTTTACAAAGGAAGGCGTCAGGTTTAAGGTTTAGGCTTCAAGTTATGGAGTTTGGGACGAAGGCTCTTGAGGTTTAAGGCGCAAGGCTGCGGCTCGGGACGCAGGGCCGTGGAGTTGGGGCTTCGGGCCTAGAGTAAGTCATAGTATACCTTGCCTATTTTAGGCTATTGGCACCACCCGCACACAAAAGTCAGAATACAATCTTAAGAACTATTTTTTCCCCAATACTTACTACTATCCAGGTGCCAATAGTCAAAATAGGCAAGGGGGTTCTCGTAGAATTTGGTTCAGGGTTTAGGGTTAAGGGAAGCCGAGAACGAGGATACATGTAGGCTCATCGGTCTCCTCGCACAAGGGGGAGTGGGAGTAAAGTGAGGTTGGGTTGGAGCACGGGGTGCTGGTGCACACGCACAGCTGACGCTTTTTGTCGTCTGGGAGTGCCGTGCAGTGAGAGTGCAATGGGGGGCGGGGCCAGGCTGGTACAGGCAAATAGACAAAGAAGCATTCTGCCCGTCTTGTGCTGTCGGGAGACACTACCACGTCCCTGATCGTTGAAACTCGGGCTAGGGCACGGAAAGCCTCTCAGGACTCCCAACTGGTCCAATCAAATGCAACAACAGCAGCGGAACAGTAGATAACCACAATTACCGGATGCTCGGTGATGACGCCAGCGGCTGCAAGGGCACCG